ACTTCTCTTTCTTTTTTTCTCTCTCTCTCTTCTTCTTTCATTTACCCAATACCGATAAACATCGACGAGTTCAGTTTAGAACTCTCTTATTTAAATAGAGAGGAGGTGTGTGTGTTGCTTCATTCTTTTTTTTTTTTTTTTTTCGTTTTTCTTTTTGTCAAAAAGAGATTCTTCGATTACATCTCGATGGGGCGTATGGGTTGATTTCTTTTTTTCTTTCTTTTTTTTTTTTTTTCCACGGGACGATCCCACAGACACACGGGTTACATAGGACATCTTTGACGACACAATTCAAAAAATAATTTTTCATTTTTAGTAGAAAGATAGGCGGGGTATTTTTTTTTTTTTCCGTACAATAGTATATTATATCGTATTAATATTATTTTCCTTCTTTTTCTTTATTAGTTATTACTATTATTAGTATTATCATACCGTTATTACTATCATTATTACGTTATTATTATTATTATTAATTATTATTATACTGTTATATTATTATTATCATTATTATTATATTATTATTATTATTATTTTATTACTATTATTATTATTATTATTATTATTATTATTATTATTCCACCTGGACATTATTTACCCCGATATACTAATCTCGTCACGCCATCTCTTTACACGTCTATTGCTCGTCTCGTTACATCACGTCACGCGAACGTACTGTCACGAGAGACATTTAAAATACAACGTAACAAATTCCATGCCGGATTATAGCATTTTAGTACGACACGCAAAACACGCTTTCTCTTTCTCGGTTTCTTCTTTCCCTCGTATCTCTATCAAACCTATTTACAAGAGTTTCCCCTCCCATCTTTCCGTTCGCTTCTTCCCGATCATCGAACAGATCGAGCTTCGGCTTCCCTCCTCGATTCTTCCAGGTGGACATGACCTCCTCGACAGGCAAACGAGGGTGAACATACGCGTGAACCTGAGTCTAAATTTAATCCGATAATCCCCGTTCGTTTCCGCCTCGTTTTGCCTCCGCACGGATTTTGCCGCATCGGTTCCAATCGGCATCTTTCTTCTATGTATAAATGAGTGTAGGTGTGTCGCGTGTTGCTCGTATATGTTGTACGTGTATATTCTGTGTACGTGTGTCGCGTGTTTTTGGTACACACGCGTATGCCCATTACACGCGCGTGCACATGTATACATACATATACATACATATACATATACATACATATATATATGTATGTATATATGTATAAAAGCATTATCGACAGTTTCCACTTAAGTTTACCAATTTTTTTATGTATATATATATATGTATATATATCATATATATGTATATATATATCATATATATATATATTATCTACACATTACGATTACTCGAGTAGCTATATGTACAATCGCACGCCTCGCACTAGCACACCATTTTGCGTCATGTTAAAAATATCTGCTGTATATTTTGTTGCATCGACGTATTTCTATTCTCTCTTCTCTCTTTGTTTCTTTTTTTTTTTTTTTCATTTTTTTTTCTTTCGCCTTTTCGTTCGTTCGCAGATCGATCTGTAGGTCGCGAGGAAGAAGGTATCGTCGTCTCATTTGCATAAATATAATCCCTTCTACGAGAACGAAAACGCCTCCTCGAACGTGCACGTCTCGTTAGACCCTGTGTTGCATCGATACGCCAAGCTCCGGATCGATCGATCACTCTGAACGAGCACGAGAGTAATACCTCTTCCCTCTGTGTACGCACTCGTCCTCCATCTGCCTCTCATCATCATCACGGACGGCACCTTAGAAGTTCACGCACCATAGCTTCAAAGTCTCTTTGATTTACCAATTACTGATCACCATCGATGACACCATCGAACGGTACTTTCTCTGATTTCTTTCTTTTTCAGTGACTAGCTGGATCACCAAGTTACACGATGGTTTCTCTTCGGACATCTTCGGATCGCGCTGTCGGCAAAATAAACGATTACGAACACGATTGAATCACAAGCGACGCTATTATGGCACACCGAGCGGGGTTTTGCTACACAAACGAAACGAAAGACAGCACAGCGCCACTGATCGAGAAGATCTTCGTTCCTTCCGGCCCATTTTTTTCTTTTTTTTTTCTTTTTTTTTTTTCTTCTTTTTCTTCTCTTTCATCCACGAGTGCGGACGAGAAGAGGGCAGAGAGAACGATCGGGGGAGGGTGAGGATGATTTAGAGGATAGACGGGCACGTATGCGACGAGCCTTCGAACACACGAGGCTCGATGGAACGAACGTTAGTCTTGTCTCTCTTCAGTGTTCTTTCGGTACGTTTTTTGTTCTTTTTCTTTTTCGTTCTTTGTCCGCGATTCACGTGGGCGCGTGAATCAAGTCCCAAACGGCGTCACGATCGCGCGTCACATCCTCGAATCACGAGTCGTGCCTGTGGATCCTGTTACGCCTGTTGCCGCTCTTTCTTCGTTTCCTCTTCGTGTCACGCGTGAACGCCACGTTGCCCGGGTCGTCGGCCAACTGCGGGTATCTGTGCACACTGTGAATGTCCACACCCTCGTAGCCGCTGACTGTCCCTCTGCTGATCAGCTCGTCCTTCTCTTCTTTGGACCAGTCGCCCCTACCTTGGAAACCAGCCATCACCAACTGCTTCTCTATCTCCCAGGCTCTCTCCACTGCTCTCTTGTGGGCGTGTTTCAATATTCTATGTCTCTCTTGCTCCGGATCAGCCCCGTACTTGATCACCACCGCCGCGTCCGGATTGTGCAACCTTAATTCTTTCCAGGTGCCCGCGCCGTGTTCGGTCGTCTCGTGGGTCGACACGTTGAACATTCCACCGAGACGACGAAGCTCCTCCATGTCGTCGCGGATTTTCAGCGCGTTGTCCTTCACGAAGTAGAACACGTCTTGGTCGTGGACGCTGAAGTGCAGAGGTAGGAAGTACGAATTATTGAACACAGACGTCACCACGTCCTGGACCACGCTGTTCACGCCGTCCACCACGCTGACCAGCGCTCTCCCGCCCACTCTCGACACTAGGATTCCTTCACCAAAGACGGCTCGACGATGGGCCACTCGAGGAAGCAGGTTCCTCGTCTTTGGCTCCAGCTTGAGCAGCGGCTTTGGAACGAAACCGAGGTCCGAGAATTTCTCGTGTACCCTGTTCACGATGCACTGCAGACCGGACATGACGCCGAAGTCTGGGGTCAGTTGAGGCGACGTGATCGTGGCACTGGGCTGATACACCATTTGCTTCATGTACTCGGAGCCGAGCATCGCGGAGATATCGTAACCGTACAGCTTCAACCAGCTGGCCAGGTCGGTCATGTACTCGACGTTCTGCTTGAAATTGACGGGATCGTTGTTGCGGAAGCGGTAGATGAAGATGTCTGTCGGAGTCGTGAGCTCGTTGGCCATTTGTTCCCAAGCGGGTGTCATCCACTGTCCGACAGTTGGATCGTACAATCGTTTATTTAGATAGACCAGTTTGGTGTTGGGATCCAGCAGGCCACCGTGGAAGTCTATGGGCAGATAGAAGTCTGGATTCGTGTCTTTGATGATCTTTCCAAATGGCGTGCGTCTCATTTCCTTTATCAGGTTCCCGTTGGTGTCGAAGAGCGCCAGGGGCGATCCGTTCTGGTCTGTCGCGACGTAGAACCTCTGCTCCGACGTTTCCACCGTCATGAGGAAGTTGCGCGAGTCGTAGAGGAACCGGAAGGTTTTCGAGGATTTGGGGAAGTGGATGTGCGTGATGAGGTCCGGCGTTTTCGGATTGGCGTAGAAGAATTGCGTGATGTTCTCGCGGTCGTCGTTCCAGGCTACCAATCGGCCACGGTCGTCGTAGAAGTACCAGATCTGGAACTTTTTGTGCTCCGAGGCGTGGATCAGCTGGCCGCGTGAATTGTATCTACGCAGATTAGAGAAACATTGGGTGTACAGATATAAATCAGAACTTGAGAATTGAAGCTAAATCAGTTAAATGAAATGGAACAGCAAGTAACGTCGGTAATTCTTACGAAAATAATCAACGAACCTGTACTTGTGCTCTCCCCGAATAACAACGAATCCCCGTCCATCGTACGAGTTAAATTCCACGTCGCCGTATTGGACAACCCGGTCACCACTGTCGTAACCCAACGCGATCTTCTCATTGTGCTCGGTGACTCCGATCACATTACCGTTCTCGTCATAAGCATACTGCCAATTGTTCTCCGTGTCAGCAACTTCCAATACATGCCCGTCAGCGTTGTAGGTGATCTTCTCCATCTTGGTCCACTCCTTCTTCTCCATGGCGTCCTTTCCAATTGACAGTTTCCTCATTTTTATACGATTTCTGTTGTCGTACTCCAATTCCATTCTGAACACGTCCAGCGATCTGATGTTCATCAGAACTGTCTTCACTCGGCCGTGCTCGTCGTAGTCAGTGACAGTGAAGAACTGTTTGCTACTATCCTGCATCACAGATCTATTGAACAGGTTCCTGTATATTCTCAGATCTCCCACGCCCTCCAATATCCCAAGATTTTGATTGTACTTCAGGCGTAACTGTGGAAGCTGTTTGCCGTTGATGTCGACCTCGATGCCGGATATCCTAGCGTTGCCGTCGTACTGGTAACGGTAACGAGCATTGTCCAAACCACTCTTGCTACCGAATTTGATCTTCTCGTCTTTGACTATCCCTGCGTGGTACTTGTACTCTATGCGCATCTCAAAGTTCGGCTCGTTGATGTCGATGCTGTGCACCAGGCTGGTGGTTTCTTGGTAGGTGTAATGAATCGAGGATAACCCTGTACGAGAATATTTCAGGCGTTAGTAATTTAGAGAACTGAAAGTTATTTAGAGAATGCTAACTAAAGGGAACAGTAGAAACATCCAAGTATCCAAATTGTAGAATATTTTAATGTCAAAATATATTACTTCATACTTATATAATTATTAGTAATTATATTTCCGGGAGAAATTTTCAACAACAACCTTTCCAATTACTTTTAACAATGAGCATCACTTACCAGCAAGAGTAGTCTCTAGTTTCCCAGTATGATCGTAAACGTAAGCAACCTTGCCACTCTGATGAGGATACACTTTGGCCAAGATCTGTCCATCATCGTTGTACAAAATCTCGTAAGGATGCCTGTTCATCGGTGAGTAGTACTGGTATTTATAGAACCCGAGGGATGTTTGCAGTGAGAACGCATGGATATGTCCTCTAGGCGTGGTCAGCGACTGCAGCGCTCCAGCTTCGTCGTATTGCAACAGATAATCACTTCCTCTCGGCGTGGTCACTTTCAATGGAAGACTACTGAACATGTCCTTAAACGCATACACCATCGACGTTCCGTCACTGTACTTAATTTCGTACAATCTCCCGGCTCTATCGAAGCCGTAGGTCTCGCTGATGTCTCCCCAGGTCCAGCTAGTCAATCTACTAAACCTGTCGTACTCCAGCTCTACGCCAGAGAAGATCCCATTTCTGGGTCCCCATTTAACTGGTCTCGCAGTTCTATCATAGGTTACGTTCAAAAGCTCCACGTCGTCCATGAACACAGCCACGCTGTTGGTCTCTCTGTCATATTCCAGAGACAACAGTATGTCCCCGTTGACACGAAGCTTCCTGCCAACTTGAGCCACCGACTTCGAGTTGCCTCTATTCTTATTCCCCTGAAGCTTCCTGAGGAAGTATCGCCACTCGAATCTGTTCGCCAAGTCTCCAGCGATCTCTGTCCTCTGTTTGGCAGGCACTGGGTAGCTTTCGCCTAGCAGAGGTTCTATCTCGGCTAATACGGAATATGGCAAAGTGTCTGTGCTGACCGTATGAGCCCACGGTGTGACCTGGCCCACGGACCCATCAGGGAGAACTGTCGTTCTTTGTTCAGCTTCTCCGATCTTCGTAACCACGGACGATCCCTTGATCAGCATCGAGATTGGCTTCCTGTTGTTCTGCCCGATCTTCACCACAGCCCCTTTCAGACTCAGATCGAACGTCAGACTGATCACCTTGCCTGTCGGAGTGACTGCAGTCGTCAGCCGACCAAATTCGTCGTAATTGTAAACGTAGCTCCTTCCCGTGCTGTCCAATTTGGTTTTCAATAAACCAGTGGGTCCATGGTAGTCGAAGGTCACGTTGTAATTGTCCGGGGTGCTCAGCTCGTGCAACATCTTCATCCTGGACATCCTGAGCCTGCACTTCTGTCCCTTGGTGTTCTCAATGGAGTTCACTTGGCTGCTGTAGTCCCTCAGTAGGAACACTTTATTTCCAGCTGCGTCTGTGACGGTACTGAGCTTCCCGTTGCTGGTGTTCACGTTGTAAGTGAACTGATAAACGATCTCCCCGGTGAGTATGTTCTTGGTAGCCACGTGTTGGCCGAATCTATTGAACACGTAGATTTCTTGAGTGTCTGGCGAATAAATCTCGTACTCTCTAGCCCCACTGGCATCGGGAATGCTCGCCATCACAGATCTGATTCTGTAGTTTGCTTGATCGCCTATGTGAACCACTCCATCCGGAGAGACAGCCACCGCGGATATGGTGTTGAACTTCGAAGTGGAAGCCAGATAGTGGTCAGCCTCGAAACAATCACAGCCACGTTCCAGACAGTTGCACTTGGACTCTGCTCCGGCGTACGGCGAAATTTTACCATCCGTGCCGATCACTCTCACGCGATTGATCCTCTGAGAGTCACTCTCTGCTATGTACAAATTTCCTGAGGGGCCGAATGCTATGCTCTGAGGCATTACCAATGTCGCATGCGTGGCTAGCTCGGTATCGAAGGAGGAAGAAGGCGAAGCACAATGGAGAGGACGTCCGGCAACTACCTTGACACGACCGTCAGGAGCCAATTGAAGAACCATGTGATCGTCTATCATGTGCAGCGAGTTGTCCAGAGGATTGATGGCTAACTCTGTCGGCCAACGAAGATGGACTTCTTCGACGTTCAATGTTCCTTCACAAGGAATTGGCTTCCAGTGCGACTTGTGCATGTGGTTTCCAATCACCGTGGTGATTATGCCATCTCTGTCGACCATTCTGATGTTGGTTCCATCGGCGAAATAGAGCACGTTGTCCGCTGAGACAGCCACTCCCTTGGGATAGGCAAGTTTCGCGTCTCTGGCCAGCGCACCGTCGCCGCAATGAGCTTCGTCGCCAGGAAGACAACGTTCTCCCGAGCCGACCACTGTCTCCCAATTGTGATCTGGATCGGAGTAGTCGTTCGTGTCTCGTACACGGATGATTTGGTGCGATTCTGGATCAGAGATGTAAAGAGAACCGTCCAGAGGGCTGAGAGCTATGTGATAACGGTAAGACACCCTTGTTGCACTGGAAGAAAATGTAACAAGGTCTGGTTAAGCTTAGGCTGAGAAATGGTGAACAGAATGTTAATGCCACAGATAAATTGCTCGATTTTGGAATAAATCTATAATCCAATTACTAATTTTCAAATAAACATGAAGATTCCAGAGTCTAACTAAAATTGTTACTAAGATTTCAAGAAAACTTACTTGAGCCGAACAACGGTCCTGACCGTGCCATCCACGAGAATCTTCCTAACCAAATTGAAGTCCCCAACGAAGATAGATCCGTCAGGTGCAGTTGCAAGAGCCACCGGTGCAAGGAGCCTCTGTTTAGAAGCCTGTCCATCGCAATCGTAGCAATCCAGAGGTCTCTGATGCCCGTCACCCATGGTGGTTAGAATCACCCTAGGCTTCTGCTTCAGGTAAATATTTGAACCGTCTCCTTTCTGAAGGATCCCCTCGTGGAAATTGTATCTATGATGAACGTCCAAGTTCCAGCCACCGACCTCGGAGATGGACATATCATGGCCACTGAGTTTCGTCGTTTGAACGTCCCAGATGATGTCTTTGCAATCGTTGTACTCGTATCCAACTTTCACCATAGCTGTGGTCACCCCGTAGACGCGTTGTCTGTACACGTTCAGCCGGTTCCAAGCGTAAGTGAACTTTATCACTGGATCCGCTTCGAACGTTTTCTCGAACAGGATGCCCTCTATGGTGATCCTCAGGTGGATCAGGTTTAAAGTTGGTGGTATGACTTCTGGAGTCAATTGCAGTTGTATGGTGGACAGATATCCAGCTGCCCTGGAGCTGTGGTAGACGAGATTCAGCCCTGTGCCAGGAATCTGCAGGCTCTCTTGGATCACTTGGGACTCGGCTAGGATGGCGCTCTTGTCGGGGCAAGCTCCTTGGAAGCCGTGTTTCCACGTTGCTAGAACCACTGGTTTCATCAAGTCGTAGTCGTGAGCCGCACACGCGTGTGGAACGTGGTTCGGTTGCTTCCCTTCCGCTATGCTCATGACGATCTTGTCGATTATCACCACCTAAAGAAGTTTCGCCGGTTGAATGGAGCATGCTTTGGAATGTTTGCATTCCAAAGGATAATTATACTTTTCAGAGAATTTTGCGAACTTCAAATCGCTATTTTGTGCATCTAACTAAACTATGGTACTTTTAAAAATACTATTTCAAACAAGCACTGGAAGAAGATCAGTTCTTTCGGTTTTCGAAGATATATAACTCTTCCCTAGAATATACAAACTTGATGGGTATAATTAATATAATAACCATCGATATTCCAGGAATGTGATCTTAAAATCAAATGAAACGTCACTTTGACTGGCAGCCTTATCAAATTTTCAAATTTGCTCAGTTGAGAAGTTATAGATCATTAATGCGTAAATTTATCGTGATGAAAAAAATCGTGCTATCAAACGACTGAATCACTGAAGCTTTAGAAATTACAGTTACTGTCTATAGATATTAATTTCGAACGATCAAAATTCTAGCATCGACTAATTAGAACAACCTTAAACACAAGGCTGTATTTAAAAAATTTTCGAATTCTGCTGTTGAATAATCTGAAAAATCTGAATTCCACAACGTACATTACCGCGAATAAAAATACTTCATATAAATATATAAAGGACAGTTTTCCGATCGAATAGAATCGCAATGTCTTGCGCGTAACGATCTGCTTGGATGTTTAATATAACATTACCTCGTTCCACGGCACGAAAACAATGTGGCTCTGCGGATTAAATGGCGATCTTCCAAATTGTAGGGTGACCGCGCCACCCCCGTTCACCAGTAGATCGAACCAGCCGTCGTCTCTCGTCAACGTGAAGCCTTCCAGGGGTGTGCTGGTGCTGACTCGCACCCCCATCAAACCGGTGCCAAGATGCGTGACAACGCGGCCACGTACAACAGCCGATCGGCTGCCAGGAAACAATAAATGTTAAATAATCCAACGTCTATCTTAAACCAACAACACGTCGTGTCAAACTAATGTTTCTCATATATATATATATATTTTTCTTTTTTTTAAATATATATATGCACCATGGCACACTAACAACAATCATCATCTAATCTAATTTCAATCTACGTAATATTACAGTATTACTTTCCAAAGTTGGTACGTTTCTCTTGCAGTGTTTTACAAGTTTGAATCAGAAAAACGAAAATGTACTGGCAATGTGTCGATCAAGTCAATAGTTGAGTAACAGCAAGTTCAGACAGACTGACTGAAGTTCAAGAGGCTATGATCTCAGAGAGATTGTTGTCGTTAACCTGTTAAGAAGTTAAAGAGAGTGAGACATTTATTTAGAACACGGGTGTGAAGATTGATGAGAGAAATGTAACGAATACTATTTTAATAAGCAAATTTCACGAAGACAAGAGGATATTTCAATGTATCTTATTTAGTTCGAAGGACTAATGCGAAGAGAACTTTTGAAACTGTTCTCCCGTGAAAATAATAATCTGGTTTTTAAACTCTTTCTATCTCTCGATGAAAATTATCTCACGTAGGATTAGAATTGACAGGATTCTTATTATTTATCAATTATCAACTCAACAGATTAACAAAGAATCGATGAGATTTGCAAGGATTGTAAACTGTTCTCACTGTTTCAGGTGGCAGTACTTTTTCGTTAAAGTATATTGGTACTTCGTGCGTGTACATGTCTCGGAAATAAAGTGAAACTCGCGAGAAAATCCAGTCAACGCGACACCAGTCTCGTCAACGTCGCTTTTCAGTGCTAAGGAGGTGATCCATTTGTTCAGGAATATATATTTTATTACACTGGAACTTTCAAATTTCTCAAAGTTCAACATCTTCGATTTCTTTCTTTTTTTTTTTTTTTTTTTCTAAACGTACAAAATTTACTACTTTAACGCAAAAAAAAAAAAAAAAAGAATTCGCTAGTCGAATTTCAGTTTAAAATTGGAAATCAGAAACAGAGCTACATCAATCCAGCAACTTCAAGACAAAAGTATTGTCCATCTCTCGTCAAACCATCGACATTATCCCTTAAAACACGCTACGTTTCTCTTCACGGACGCCTCGTTGGCACTGAAGAAGCATCGGTCGAACCGCCATTAATTACATATATATACATACACATATACACGAATAACACAAAGTCAGAAGCTCAACTTAAAAGGCACGAAAGACAACGTAGGAATAATAAGGTAACCAAACCATGCAACGAGAAAGAGATTCGAACACTGATGAGAAGGGGACGAATAGGGTTGTTTCTGGTGGTCTATGAGCTTTTCATATATATTTTTCTCTTTTTATTTTTTTCTTTTTCTCTAACAAACTCGTACGCAGCGTCGTGCACAATGTTCGAACAAGAACTCATCTTCACTTTTGTCGATAATCTTTTTCAAACGATATTCTCGACAAATCTCGAAGAGATGCGTTTTCGACATTGAGCCGAACGCGGGCGTAGCAACCTCGTTTTCTGTTTGGATTCGGGAATTTGTCATATGTTTCATGTGTCACACACTATACCAAATGCAAAAAACGTCGTCAAACAGCAGCATCAGCAGCTATTCAACTCTACAAAACGAACTCGCAACCGGTAGGATTTTTTACTTCTTTAATTTTCTTTTTTTTTTTT